TCAAATAATTGTCAACTGAATTTGTCTGAAATGAATTAAATCTGCCTGAATTTATTAACACAAATTTACATAATTCCCCAAAATCCAGATGTGACAATTATGCAAACTTAATAAAACAAAATAATGACTCTCACATTAAGTTTAATTTAGTGTGGAAAACTAATTGGTGAATCCTAAATTTTACGAAAAGTAAGAGCTAAATGATTTTAAAAAAAATCTCTGAGGAATAATTCACTTCTTCGACTAGGCCTTGAGAGAATCCTAATTTCCTGTAATTTCAGGGATGGTCTATGAAAATCAAATTTTCAGGATTGTTGCATCACTGAAGGCTATCTTCTATACACATTATTACCGTGTACATATTGAAGTCACTAGCTGGATATTCATTTACCATAGGTCTAAAGGAGTCCTAGACGAATGGGTGTAAAGTGATGACATAGACAGATGTGAAAAGATTTTTGACAGGTGGTCTCTCATAACAGGTGGTCTCTCATGACAGGTGGTCACTTACAGCAGGTGGTCTTTCACAGCATGTGAACACTTAACAGGTGGTCTCATATGACAGGTGGTCTCTCATGGCAGGTGGACTCTTAATAACAGGTGGTCTCTCACAGCAGGTGGGTTCTTAATAACAGGTTGTCTCTCGCAGCAGGTGGTCTCTCATGACAGGTGGTCTCTCACAGCAGGTGGAATCTTCATAACAGATGGTCTCTTACAGCAGGTGGGTTCTTAACAACAGATGATCTCTTATAGCAGGTGGGTTCTTAATAACAGGCGGTCTCTCACAGTAGGTGGGTTCTTAATAACAGGTGGTCTCTCACAGCAGGTGGGTTCTTAATAACAGGCGGTCTCTCACAGCAGGTGGTCTCTCACAGCAGGTGGGTTCTTAATAACAGGTGGTCTCTCACAGCAGGTGGGTTCTTAATAACAGGTGGTCTCTCACAGCAGGTGGGTTCTTAATAACAGGTTGTCTCTCACAGCAGATGGACACTTAATAACAGGTGGTCTCTCACAGCAGGTTGGTTCTTAACAACTGGTGGTCTCTCACAGCAAGTGGGCTCTTGACAGGACAGGTGATCTCTTTCAGCAGGTGGACAATTAATAATAGGTTGTCTCTTATGACAGGTGGTCTCCCATCATAAGTGGTCTCTCATGACAGGGTGATCTCTTTTAACAGGTAATCTGTTATACAGGTGGTCTCTTACAAAAAGTGATCTCACGTTAAATGGTCACCTGTGGCAGATAGTGGATGGGAAACAGGTGGTCTGTTGTTCTGGACACTCCTGACCATTCCGTCTGAAAATATGTTTTCTATATGGTCGGGTGATTTCTTTAGATGTATGTTGACTTTCAGGAGAGAAACTTTAAAATCACTGAATGTGTACAGTGTAGAACAGACCATGTTATCTAAAGTTGTTGTGGAGTAATTTTAGTAATAGTATTCATGTTGGGTATGAGAAGATGTGATTACTATACGTTTATTGAACAAACGAGATATCCCTTTGCCAAAATTAGATTTGAGATACCACTCTGTCCTTGAGCATTAAAACCTAAATTCTTACAAGAGCCGGAAAGCACAAGATTGCATTTCAATGAAAATCTTTCAAGGCCAGGCTTCTTTACCCAAAAAGGTATATAGGGCCTGTACTCCAACTAGCAGATGTTATTTACAGAATTTCTGCTGCTTCTCCTCACTGAGTGCAGCATTAAATGCATACATTTAGGTTTGAATAAAACATATAAGCTTAAATCATCAGCAAGGTGTATTTTCAGAGCATATTGTATTCACTGTTAAATTAGCAACCAGGGCACATGGAATATTGGCTGGAGAAGCATTCATTGACTCATTTACCCCTGAAGACACATTTGAACTCCTCCAATTCACAGGTTGGAATGGTTCATTATGAAATTTCAGGGTTGAAAGAGTTAAGATAACAAAATATAGAAGAGGCAGTAAGCTATAAAGGCGACATCACTGTCAGACACATTCCCAGGGAGAATTCCAAAATTGTTATCGGTTTTTTATCCCTGAAAATAGTAAAATTGTGAGACTAAAGTGTGTGATATAAAGTGGATGGTAATATAATTTTATTAGCTGGAGATGACCAGAAAGGAGGCTGTTTGGGAAAGAGGGTGCTAGTTCAAGATCAATTGAGAAGTGCTGAAAAAAGGGGATGGACAGTCTTTTACAGGAAATATAATATACTGTTGATAAAATGGTCACCACATATACATTACAGTGGTAATCCATTGACTTTACTCTGTGGTAAATACATGCAGTGAAAGTGATAACCTTATTAAACTTAATACTCGGAGGATCATACTAGGTAAATACATTCCGCAATAAAAATACACTTACAAATGTATTAACTAAACACTGTACATCAAAACCTTTGAAACTACAAATGGCCAGCGTAGAAAAGACCAATAACAATGGGGATTACAAGGTTATACACAAGTTAGGTTATATGTACACGATAATTTTCACACTTGAAGAATGAAAATGTCAATAGATAGTCTGGCGTAACCCAGCGCCATGGAAGCATGCATGTTTCATCCTTCCACACACCAGACTGGTCACACCAGCTGTCGTGTCCAAACGCTAGCCCCTAATTGTTTTGGTCTCTCAACAAGAACACTTGTGACCTTTTCAGGTTATAAATTTATTGATTCTCTCTGGGCAGTATTCTAACTGACCGTGAACTGATCCTGATAGGCACCACAGACTAATAGAAAAATCCCACTGGATAACTTGTCACACAGACCTATTTATTTTCCTACAATCGGGCAATTTCCATTTTAATAAACGAAAAAATGAAAACCTGGTGTCGTAATTGCTTTATGTCAATTCAAGTGAAAGATATTACGACTAATAAGAGAAAAATACCAGCTCACGACACGAGATTATAAATCAAAAACTTGTTTATTCTAGTGTAATAATGTGTAGATATGAAGTTATAATGACAGTATGGTAGAGCGCCCAGGCTGGTAATTAGGAGCTGTGTGGGGCTGGAGACCTGTTGATTGTGTTATGATGGAGCGATAATCTACTTTTACATGTCAGGAAGCCCATGATCAATTTCACAACATGTTGTACAATCACAAATTCCTGCACAATCAACAGCTATATAATTACCACAATCCACTGCACAATCCTAGCAATCTGCGTCACATAATCCATACTTGTATAATAATCATAATCCACACCTGTATATTAATCATAACCCACATCACACATTTATCCAGCTGTGTAATAATTACAATCCACCCCACACGATCCACATCTTTATAATAATTTCAACCACCCCAAACAATCAACATCTGTATTATAATCACAATACACCTGACTCAATCCACAGTTGTATAATAATCATAACCCACATCACACATTTATCCAGCTGTGTAATAATTACAATCCCCCCCACACAATCAACATCTTTATAATAATCACAATCCACCTCCCTCAATCAACATCTGTATTATAATCACAATCCACCTCACTCAATCCACAGTTGTATAATAATCATAACCCACATCACACATTTATCCAGCTGTGTAATAATTACAATCCCCCCCACACAATCAACATCTTTATAATAATCACAATCCACCTCCCTCAATCAACATCTGTATTATTATCACAATCCACCTCACTCAATCCACAGTTGTATAATAATCATAACCCACATCACACTTATCCAGCTGTCTAAAAATTACAATCCACCCCACACAATCAACACCTGTATTATAATTACAATCCACCTTACTCTATCCACAGTTGTATAATAATCATAATCCACCTCACACAATCCACTCCTGTATAATAATCATAATCCACCTCACACAATCCACATCTGTATAAGTATCACAATCCACCTCACACAATCCACAGTTGTATAATAACCACAATCCACCTCACACAATCCACAGTTGTATAATAACCACAATCCACCTCACACAATCCACATCTGAATAATAATCACAATCCACTTTAAACAATCCACATCTGTATAATTAGCCCAACCCACCTCAAACAATCCACACCTGTATAATAATCACAATCCACCTCACACAATCCACAGTTGTATAATAATCACAATCCACCTCACATAATCCACATCTGAATAATAATCACAATCCACTTTAAACAATCCACATCTGTATAATTATCACAATCCACCTCAAACAATCCACACCTGTATAATAATCACAATCCACCTCACACAATCCACACCTGTATAATTATCACAATCCACCTCACACAATCCACACCTGTATAATAATCACAATCCACCTCACACAATCCACACCTGTATAATAATCACAATCCACCTCACACAATCCACACCTGTATAATAATCACAATCCACCTCACACAATCCACATCTGAATAATAATCACAATCCACTTTAAACAATCTACATTTGTATAATTATCACAATCCACCTCACATAATCCACACCTGTATAATAATCTTAATCCACCTCACATAATCCACATCTGAATAATAATCACAATCCATCTTAAACAATCTATATTTGTATAATTATCACAATCCACCTCACATAATCCACATCTGTATAATTATCACAATCCACCTCACACAATCCACACCTGTATAATAATCACAATCAACCTCACACAATCCACACCTGCATAATTATCACAATCCACATCTGAATAATAATCACAATCCATATTGTATAATAATCACAATCCACCTTTTATAATCCATATTTGTATAATAATCGCAATCAACTTTACACAATCCACTACTATTCATTCTTATCACACTTCACCTTATAATCCACAGCTGTATGACTAAGCCATTTGTGCTTTGTTATCAAAGAGCATTTTTAATAAAAAAAAACATTTAGTAGAATTTTTAAGAATATCTAATAATCTTTTCTTCATCAAACTCAATGAAATATTTGCTAATATGTCCTGATGTACATTGACAGTCTTACCTACATGGATGACGTTGACTTTGATCTTCAATGATGACCTTTATTGGCAGTCTGACCTATACTGATGACCTCAGTGACAATCTGACCTATACTAATGACCACATTGACAGTCTGACCTATACTGATGACCTCAGTGACAATCTGACCTACACTGATGACCACATTGACAGTCTGACCTATACTGATGACCACATTGACAGTCTGACCTATACTGATGACCTCATTAACAGTCTGACCTATACTGATGACCTCATTAACAGTCTGACCTATACTGATGACCTCATTGACAGTCTGACCTATACTGATGACCTCATTGGCAGTCTGTCTTTAACACTGATGACCTTAGTGACAATCTGACCTATACTGATGACCTGATTGGCAGTCTGACCTATACTGATGACCACAGGGACAATCTGACCTTTACTGATGACTTCAGTGAAAATCTGACCTATACTGATGACCACATTGGCAGTCTGACCTATACTGATGACCTCAGTGACAATCTGACCTACACTGATGACCTCTGTGACAGTCTGACCTACACTAATGACCTACACCAAGTCTCACCTGCACTGACAAGCTTTATGATCCTACTCCCAAATCAATTAAACTGCATGTAATAAGCTAATTGCAACCAGTGATCTTTTGAACAAAATTTATTAAAATTCTTCTACAAAAGAAGTATTCTTTTAAATATTTACCTGTATTTCTCTTTGCCATATAATGATTTTTACCAAAATTTGGTTCAAATTCCTTTTTCAAAAGAGTTTCTAATTCTACTACCGTATTTGGCCCCACTACACAGCTGCCCAATGGAGGGGCCACACATTCCATTTAAACATCTTTGAATTGGCTCAGTGATGCTTAAGATAAAATTTGGTTTAAGTCTCTTTATTTGCACCACATGTGTAGTCTTTTTTAAAAATAAAATTACTTTCATTTCCTCTATTCAGCCCCAGACCTTTACTCTCAAAGTAGCCACATTCCTCATTTACACGATCCTGAGTCCCTTTGGCCAAATAATGATTTTGATCAAATTTGGTTAAAATCTGTTCAGACTTTCTTAATGAGTAATCTTTAAAGCATGTATATGTTTCCCCTATTAGATCCCCATCCATTATCTCAAAGCAGGTTTGGAAGATGGGGGAACATATTTTCGTGTAACGGCATCCAACCTTTAGCCTCCTTGAAATTGGCCAAGTTATGCTTTTGATCAATTGTAAAGAACAGTTTTTTGTTAAAAGAGTCTTTGCTATTTCCCCTATTTGGCCTCAACTAACTGCCTCCAAAATGGTCACACCTTTTACTCGCACAACATGAAGTCCATGCTTCAGAGCAAATTTGGTTGAAATGTGTTCTGTTATTCAGGAGGAGTAGCATTTCTGGCCAGGTCAGTTAAACAATTGATATTGAATTGACCAATAGATGGACTAAGGATGCCGGCCACAACATGGCAAAAACTCACCATGATCTTTCGGACCAGAAAGGCTAAAAATCATCAAATTCCAACTTTTAAATTACTCTGAACAAATGTTATGACTACAGTAAAATAAGCAGTCGGAAATCAAGTTCCCTGGTGCTATTAACTATCGTTATACAAGACTAACAAAACATTCTAGTCACAGTAGTTTTATGGATCTGCAATATTATTAGGTTACATTTTGAATTTCCAAGGTTACAAAATCCTTGATGATAAATGAATTCCTGACATTTTTATTGGCTACTATAATCATCAGCAGGCTAACAGTCATTATACGTACATCATCGTCCTCTACCCTCTGATTGGCCGAGACAATTAATACTGTCATTGATACGCAGCTCTAGTTCACTGGCTTTGTCAGGATTTTGTCTCAACCAGGAACTGTTTAAGGTTCCTGTACCACTGCCAAAACCTGTAATGGCGTAGTGGAAGCTGTTTTTACTATACGTTGCGGGGGCCTTTGTGAAAAATTAAAAAAGATAAAAAAAAAAAAAAAAAAAAAAAAAAAAGAGCAAAATATAATCACATCATCAACATCAGTGTTCTGAGTGTAAAAATCAGCAGAGCTAGATGGGAAGTGTTCTGAGTGTAAAAATCAGCAGAGCTAGACCGAGATTTGAAACTTGGACTTCAGCTTGTTATACTATCACCCTAACTGATTCAGCTAGCTGATCAACAGAAGTGTTCTGGCCAAACTTTGCTACAGTTATAGCTAAACGGGAGTTAAGGGGAGGTAACTATATATAGGTAAAGACAAAATTTGCAATTGGACAGGACCTTAAAGAGTCCATGACTACCTGCAGCTGTTTTAATGTCACATACAGTGTGGGGTGTGTTGGGGGTGGGGGTGGGGGTGGGGGTCTGTAAGGTAATGGAGTAGTTGACTATTGATTGAAGGTAAAGCGAGGAGTGTGGGCGACACTTTGATTGGAGAACGGGTCAATGTTGTGTACAGAAACTGCAGTGGTGAGGTTAAGGTGAGGTAGTGGGTGCTGTTAAGGTGTAGCATGTAGATATTTCAAATTACACAGCTGCTCAATAACTGTAAAAGAGATTTTAAAAGATTTGAAGTGTATGATGATTATGCTCCACGATTTACACTGGTATTAGAATTGCATCATCCATCATATGTCTCGTGTTTAGTTGTAAATATAATCATCATTTACATCAACCCGTGTATTGCTGTAAATATAATCAAACCACCACCGGAAGCATTAAAACGAACATGTAATAAAAAACATGTAAAATGATCAGATATTTCTGGTAATACAGAGAGTTAGAAAATAAAACTCCACGTGAGAATCATTCTGATAAATAAAGTGTGGTTTTATTAACAGGAATATAAGAAATGGGCCTGTACCCTGTTGATATAAGATATTAATACCAGTAAAGTTCTCACAGGTGAGGCACAATATCACATTCAACACACCCTAATCTTTAATCAATTCATCAAAATAATCTACTTCTAAGTTTCTTGAGAATCCGCTGGCCTTGATAGTTTGTACATGACTAGCACATGCAGTTTTCAAGTTAGATTTTCACCAGCTGCATGTGCTTAAGCAATAAACTGCATAGATGTGGCAGACCAACTGGTATAACTTCCACATGTGTCACAGACAAACTTATCATGGTGCGCTAGCGCGCACCATTCAGTTTGTCTGTGACACAAGTGGCAGTTATACCGGGTGGTCTGCCACATCTATGCAGTTTATTGCTTATATTTATATTTCCATAATGAGAATTCGCAATTTTTTTTTTATGTCTTTTCCAAATTTTAAATTTCCCGCTTATTACCGTCAGGTCAGGTCAGTATCTAGAACGGCACACAGATAACAGCTGACGTCATGCGGTATTAATTTCCATACAAAATTGAAAAGACTCCGCAACTTTCGTTAATAATTCATTTGATTGTGTATTATATATATATCATATTCTCGATTCATAAATAGTAACAAATGACATTTTGTAAGTAACTAATCAAGTGTCGTAAAACATTTTCCGATTTTATTGCGACCTATATCCGGCGCACGCACCCAACGGAAGTCTGCAGTAATCAGGTCAGAGTTATATTTGAAGTCCGGCATGTCGTTGATGTTGATCGGGCAACCGGAGAAGGTTGAATTTGTGAAAAATCCAGGCATACAATTGTTTGTTGATCACAGAGACACTTGAGACATAGGCAGCTGGTGTTCGGGATCAAAGCAGAAGATACCGATAAGTTCGGTAGTGACACTGTTAAGTCGCTCGGAGGAGCAAAGACCAACTTCAGTTATAGTCTCATAAGATGAAGCTGCTATTGGCAGTACGTTTGTAGCAATATAGAAGGGCTTTGCCACACCTAATGTAAATATATGGGTATACTGCTGTCCCATAGTGTCTTAAACAATTCATTAACATTTTCTGTACCAGAATATGATTAAAGCTAAAAATATATACACATATATCAAATATGAGTTATCACCCTTTGTGTAAATCTTCTTTTTTTTTTATTGTTCTGACACCTTAAGGTAGGTATCATTTCACTGTTCAAAATATTGTTTTGGCAAGCTGTGAATGAGCTTCCATGTGGACAAGTCCTTAGTATATATAGCTACCAAACACTTTTAATCTAACAGTGCTTTATATCACCTCAATAACTCCAATATTTCCAGGCTCCATCATGTTCATTACCAGCAAACACGAGTATCCTGCTTATGTATCCAAGCATCCTTCTGTCTCCTGCTTTCACAGTCTGCCAACATTGCAGAACATTTCTTATAGTGTCTAATTGTATATTAATTACCACAGACGTCATACTTTTCCTGTCCAATTTCTGTTCAGTACCATCACTGAAGATACACAATTTCCAAATTTTGCTGACAATTCTTAATGTTTCCTTTTGCAGACTGATTGTAACCTTTACTTACTAGCTGTTACCTTTATTCATGATAGTAATATAAAACCATTATTTACAGTAACTTGATTTAACTATTACTTAGAGTAATTATTACTAAGTGTTACTATTATTTAGGGTAACGATTATTAACTGGGAACTTGTAAAATAACTGTGATTTAATTTTTCAAACTTGAAATTCTGGAGCATTAATTCAAGAGAAAGTCATTGGCTGACAACTAGACACTTTGTGTCTCGATCCTGTCTAGTCCTTGAACGCAATCACATAAACAGGACATTCACACTGGCATATGAAGGTGATTCAACAATATCAATATTCTTAGGTTAAGCAGCAAGACTTCTAGTGATCAAGACAAACTACCCTATCCCTTTGGGCATTCTACCAGACATCTGTATAGGTCAAACAACCCTTTATATGCTTATCTAAAAACTGGTACTTTGGAAAGATTAAATTTCACGTCATTGTGTGTGGGGGGGAGCAGTAGAAAACTAGAAATTTAGCTGAATTATTACATCTTCAATTCTTTCCAAAAGATGAAAGAAAAGCTTAAGCAACAAGACTTATTAAAAAAAAAATGACACTTATAACAATGAATCTACTGGTCGTGATGAAATATCTCACCAAGTACAATCACTTATCAATTAATGGTGTCAACTTTCTCTTGTAACTATCAAACTTGTCATCATGACTGTCAATCAATCATGTCAAACATCACACATTACATAGCTGGTAAAATGATGAGGGCTGTCAGTCACTATTACACCTTTGTAGCTACTTAATTCACATGATGCCCTGGAGTCAATGACACACAAAAAAGACATGTTCATCACCAAACATATATATTGCCATAGCAACTTCCCATCCCTTATGTACCACATCGCCATAGCAACCTCCAATCCCTTACCTTATTGCCATAGCAACCTCCCATCCAATACCTTATTGCCATACATGGTTCATACAAACTATTGACCTCAAAATTTAAGGACTTTTCAAGGGTTTTCAAGACAAATTTTAAAAATTCAAGGGCTCAATTATATTGCAAAATAAACAAACAATTTTAATGAACAACAAGGCCTTGAGGGGTTAGGATTGAAGGAAAGTCGTCGGCATTTGTGTTCGTATTTGGATTAGGAACAGTCGAAGTAGGTCTCAATGTACTTGCCGTTGAAGTAGAGGGTTTGGTATAAAAGTGTCAAAGGCCAAGTCGAAGTGGTCACCAAATTTTCTTTTCAAGTGTTTATGACTTTTCATGTGATGTAATACCCATCTAATTTCTTTGATTTTCAAGGGTTTTTCAAGGCTTACAGTCAATTTCAAGGGTTTTTCAAGATAGACATCAAATTCAAGGGTTTTTCAAGACCTATGCGAACCATGCCATAACAACCTCCCATCCATAACTCATTGCCATAGAAACATTATATTCCTGAACTCATTGCCATAACAACCTCCCATCCATAACTCATTGCCATAGAAACATAATATTCCTGAACTCATTGCCATAACTGAACCTCCCATCCATTAACTCATTGCCATAGAAACATTGTATTCCTGAACTCATTGCCATAACAACCTCCCATCCATTAACTCATTGCCATAGAAACATTGTATTCCTGAACTCATTGCCATAACAACCTCCCATCCAAAACTCATTGCCATAGAAACATTATATTCCTGAACTCATTGCCATAACAACTTCCCATTTATAACTCATTGCCATAGAAACATTATATTCCTGAACTCATTGCCATAACAACTTCCCATCCATAACTCATTGCCATAGAAACATTATATTCCTGAACGCATTGCCATAACAACCTCCCATCCATTAACTCATTGCCATAGAAACATTATATTCCTGAACTCATTGATATAACAACCTCCCATCCATAACTCATTGCCATATAAACATTATATTCCTGAACTCATTGCCATAACAACTTCCCATCCATAACTCATTGCCATAGAAACATTATATTCCTGAACTCATTGCCAGAGCAACCTCCCATCCATTAACTC